AGGGTCTCTACGAGGCGTGGATTTATTAAAGAATATTTTTCAAGGGTCTCTACAAGGCGTGGATTTATTAAAGAATATTTTTTCAAGGGTCCGTCCATACAAGGCGTGGATTTATTAAAGAATATTTTTCAAGGGTCTATAGGAGGCGTGGATTTTTTAAAGAATAGTTTTCAAGGGTCTATAGGAGGCGTGGATTTTTTAAAGAATAGTTTTCAAGGGTCTATAGGAGGCGTGGATTTAAAGCCAGCGGACTGAGTAACAAACTGAGAGTATCACATTAAAATAAAATAAAAATAACAATAAATTGTTTTTGTTTTTGCATTTTGTTTAAATTGATCAATTAATGACTTCGAAGCGAAGGGTAGGAGGGAGGAAGAGAGAGGGTCGGCCGGCCCGTGGTCTGCTCACTCATTCATGAAAATAATAACAATAACAAAAATAAATACAAGTAATAATCACAAATAATAAAAATACTGAGACGATTCCGACTACAAAAAAACGAAGACAACATCGTCGTCCGTACATTGAGAACCCCGGGGAATTGCTTTAGAATTTTTGCGATCAGTCAGTCAGTTAACTTAAAGACTTGTTACAATAAAGACGCGACACGCGACGAACCGCTACAATGACAAGAATAACGGAAAATATTTTAAGCTTACTACTAATAGCGTTCGCCATAACATCCGCTTGGGCTCAAAATGATAGACCCTCATGGTCCTTTTCATTGGGAAGTATTAATTTATTCGACATACCCAAGTTTCCTAGCGTCGTATTCGATGAGGGTAGTGCGAAAATTCAACGCGAAGTTCATAGCTCAATGACGTCGTTGTTGAGTGATGTTGCCATTGATCCGGATATTATTGAGGATTCGAAATTGAAAACGGTTGGTTGAAATTGATGAGTGTTTTAGAGTGTGTGTGAGAATGTGTGAATGTGAGACTTTTTATTAAAAGTTATTTCTTTGTGTTTCTATAGCCTGATCTGATACGAAAATATGGTTATCCCTCGGAAGTGCATCATGCCATTACCGATGATGGTTATATTTTGGAATTACATCGCATTGCCAATCATGGGGCAATGCCAGTGCTGCTGACCCATGGCCTTTTGGATTCGTCGGCCACATGGGTTATGATGGGTCCCAACAAGGGATTGGGTAAGTAAATTAAATGTGAAATACCATCAAGGAAATGATGCGAAAAAGCGAAGCGAGATACACGCGAATTTATTTAACTGATCCAAGATCCGGATTCCAACATAAACATGGGAATAAAATTGCTGGTCTTCAGAAAAATTAATAACAAAAAATTATACACGGATTTGAAGGCGACATTGTATAAAATAAGACAGTTTATAAGGGTCTAAAAGAAGCGTGGTCCATATCCATAAGAGGCGTGTATTTTTACGAATATTTTTTAAGATCTATAAGAGGCTTGGATATTTTAAAAAATATTTTTCAAGAGTTTTTAAAAGGCGTTGCTTTTTTAAGGTATATTTTTCAAGGTTCTATGAGAAGAGTAATTTTTTTTAGGAATATTTTTTATCAAAGGTTTATTGACCTTTATTTTTAAGAATATTTTTTCAATGATCTCTAAGAGGCGTGGATTCAAGCGTTTATAATAGGCCTGGATTTTTTTATAGAATATATTTATGATTTATAAGAGACGTGGATTTTTTTAAAAAAACATTTTTCAAGGGGCTCTAAAGGGCGTGGGTTTGTTAAAGAATATTTTTTGAAGGGTCTTTAGGAAGCTTGCAAGGGTCTGTGGGGAATTCCTATAATGTCAGAAAAACTAAACATAAAGAATTATACACGGAATTGATGGCGATATAGAATAATAAAGGGCGGAATTTTAAAGATTTTGGGGAAGGATATTCCTTTTGGGTATGCTCGTATATTAAAAAATCAAAAAGGCAATCGCAACGTACGTCAGATTGCTTAGTGTTTTGCTTTTGTCCTTATAATTTTCTGTTTGTAGTTATTTTGAGGAACATCTTGACCATTGAACTCGGCTACTCGAGTGTCGATTTTGTTCCAAGTGAATCCGGCAGTTCTACATAATGTAGAAATGCATTAGTGTTCGTAGATATAAGGATTTCTTAGCAAGGTACATGTGGAAAAGGAGAATGAAAACCTACGAATTTTATGATTGAAAGTTTTGTAGAATATTTTGTCAATATATCTCGTCTTCTTGGATTTAGTTTATGGTACAAAAAGATAGAGATATGAACTCGATATAGAAGGTGGATATGTTTTAGAAAAAAAATCCTTTTTTGATTTGACTGAAGATTATAATGCAATAGCCGCAAATAAAGACGCCAAGTTTATTCTTCATGAACTTTAGACTACTCTTATGAGGTTTTCTATAAAGTAAGATAGCATTAGATTGACAATTTCAGCTATGATCTTCAATAAACGTAAACATTGCGGAACCCTTAAATATGAGAATTTTTTTATTATATTTTTGTGGTTCCCTCAAGAAGTAGTTCATTCTCTAAAGATCCATAAGTGCCAATTTATAGGCCATATCGCTTAGAAAATAAGGGTAAGAATTTGCGGGTGGGACAATGAACCTCCAAAATACAGAAAGTGCGATGAAAACGTCGTCATATGAGGACTATGTCAAACCAAGCCTTTAGTTTGTAAGTTTCCAATTTTTAGGACCAAAAACAGATGTTATTAACTCACTGCTTGATTTTTTAAATATATGTCCTTAGCTCATAGTCCCCGCATTTTTGTTCATTCCTCATAAATCCAGGACTAACGCTTTTATTTCGGAGTTTACCAATTTTTTAGAACCCTGATTTTTTATCAACGCTAGAACTGGGAGTTTCATTACATTTTGTTGAAGTACACGCTAGTTCACGGGTACTTGAAATCCTCGCAACATGTTCAGAGGTCCTTGACTCCACTACTTATTTTAGGAAATCTTTTGAATTTCCATTTAAAAATCACAAATTAGGTTCAGAATTTCAAATTTCGTAAGTTCAGAGGTCCTTGAAAGAGTTAATATCTGGGGTCCATGGAACATTAATTTAAAAAAGCCTTTAGGTTGGTGCTCCCTGAAATCCATGGATTAGGTTCGGTCATTCTTGAAATGCCTACCTAAAAACACTTTGTACTAAATCTCTGAAATTGCTATTAAAAAAAACAAGTCTTAAGTTCGGATGTATTTTAAATACACGCAGTATATTCCTTAATATCCACACATTAAGTTTGTAGGCCCCAGAAATTCAAATTCAGATGTCCATGAAATCTAGGCATTAAATTCGGAGGCCTTTGCAATTCCCTCCTTGGAAATACACACATTGAGTTCGGAGGTATTTGAATTAGGTTCAAAGGCACTTGAAATCTCCACTAAAAACACGCCATTTACACAAAGTATCATCGGAGATTTATAAAGAACATCCGAACTTAGTGCGTGCATAAATTCGGAGGTTTTTCAAATCCAAACTATAAGTTCAAATGTACTTTCAAGAACTAGATCTAGACATTAAATTCGGAGGACTTTGAAATTATCTCATTAAATCCGGAGATCGTTAAATCTACGCATCCTCGAAATCAAGGCAGTAAGATAGGAACTGCTTGAAATTCACACATTAATTTCGAAATTGTCATTTTAATAGCCTATGCTTTAAGTTTGGAGGAGCTTGAAGTAGTCATTTAAGAAACACGCCTTCACTGGACAGGTTTTAAAATTGTCATTAAGAACCCAGCTTTTTGTTCGGAAACTGAAATAGTCATTAAAAAGCTTTAACTTCGTAGGTCCTTGCATTTTTCATTAAAAATACACGTCTTCGGTTTGCTGGTACTTGAAATTGTCAATTAAAAAACCCAAGCCTTAAGTTGGCTGGTAATGCGCTTGAAATTTTATTCAAAAAAATCAAGCCTTCAGTTGGCAGGTCCTTGAATTTTTTTTAACCACGCCTTCAGTTGGCTGGTAATGTCCTTGAAATTTTCATTTCCAAATACCACAACTTGAAATTTTCGAAATTCAGGCATTATGGTCGGAGGCACTTGAGATTCGAAATTTGATTTTTTTTATTAAACTCTTTTTCTGAAGTTTAAAAAAAAATTTAAAAAAATACACGCCTTAAGTAATGAAATCCACGTGCATACATCATCGATGTTTTTAATTAACGCATTTTGTTCTGTGGCCCTTGCAAAAAAATATTCTTTAAAACCCACGCCTATGAAACCACCATTTTCAAAAGCCACGTATCCGAAATTACAAAACCGAAACCGACGGCAGTTAACATTACAAAATTGTTGTCCCTAATCAAAAATTTTGAGATGTTTGTACTCTGGGAATTATAAAATATTACAAACCTGCTAAAACCTGTCCATTCTAGTTGTTTTGTTCTGTGAGGAGTACTTCCATTTTCAATTTGGGGACTTATTTCACACTTCAAGATTTAATTCTTAAAATTCCCCCTAGTAGCAAAATTTAGTGTAGGGTATTGCCAAATTATCCCCCCATAATCTAAAAAAAAATCACCCATTCAGCATTATTTATTATAATTAGGTAAAGGTCAAGCTTATCTGTGGGTCTGCATAAGCCTCTCAAATTCTTGGGAACAAAAACAAACACTTCGATTGACGTATTTTCGCTCGCTTCCTTTCCGCTCAAATTCGCATTACAAAGCAATACTAAATTATCAATTTCATGTTTCTTCCCCCAGCTTATCTGCTCTTCGAAAAAGGTTACGATGTGTGGATGACAAATGTTCGGGGTAATACATATTCGCGAAATCACACCAAGTACACGACGAAGCATGCGGCATTTTGGGACTTTACCTTTCATGAAATGGGCAAATATGATTTACCGGCCAGTATTAATTATATTTTGGATTTGACCTCGCAGAGCCAGTTGCACTACATTGGCCACTCACAGGGTACCATGACCTATTTTATAATGTGCAGTGAGCGACCTGATATGTGTGAGAAGGTTATGCTGATGCAGGCACTGGCCCCAGTGGCCTTTATCAAACATGCCAAGAGTCCGGTGGTGGAATTTTTGGCCTTTTTCCAGGAGCCATTGGCGGTGAGTACTCGGGAAACCCCCCAACTCTATCTTTAAGAAAAAATGAAACTAATCTCCCTCTCTCTTTTTGTTCCACAGATGTTACTCAAACTAATCGGTGCCCATGAATTTTTACCCAGCAATGAATTTATCACTCTCTTCAATCAAATCGTGTGCGATGAAGATTCCTTCACGGAGGAAATTTGTTCCAATGTCATGTTCCTCGTTGCCGGCTTTGATAAGGCACAAATGAACGAAACTATGGTGCCGGTAATTTTGGGCCATGCTCCCGCAGGTGCTGCCACCAAACAAATGCAACATTATGGCCAGTTGAAACGTAGCGGCCAATTCCGTCAATACGATTATGGTTGGATACGTAACCACTGGCGTTATGGTTCCATTAATCCACCAGATTACAAATTGGAAAATGTTCTCACGAAAGTGGCCCTTCATTATTCGTCAAATGATTGGTTAGCCACACCAAAAGATGTGGAAAAGTTACGCCAGCGGTTACCCAATTTGGTGGGGAAATTTTTGGTCAATGATCCGAAATTTAATCATTTAGATTTTGTTTGGGGCATCGATGCAAGAGAGTTGTTGTACAATAAAGTGCTGGCCCTCATGGAGATGACCGAACGGGGTGATTTTAATGATATGTGGGCTTAGAGGTAGAAAATGGCCTCACAATAAAATCTCTACAAACAAATATGGAATGTGGTATTTTTTATATATTTTTATTTTTTAGTAATTTTAAGTTTTGTTAATTATTTTATTTTTTTATAGATAGTAAGGATGCTATAGTGTTTAAGCCATATATAAATAGGAAAAAAATATAAAAATTAATTTTATAAACTAATATTTTTCTCATTTTAATGAAAATAAGCAAGGCATATATCGCTCATTTGCTGCAAGATCGGTATAAATCAAAAATTTGACCTTGCGGAAAATTCGTTTTAAGTTTAACAAGGAACAGTGGAACTTCTACGGATTCATAATCAGTGGTACGAGAGATTCAGCTGGATTTTTGTAGATTCAGCTAAAACAAAAATTCTCCATCATTAAGTGAAAAATCACGATTTTTGATTTATGTCAGTCTTGCAGGAAATGAGCGACATGTCGGCGTCATGTCCAAAAAAAAGTGAAGTCGGAGGTTTTCTAAAATCGATGGTCTGCTCAATGCTCATTTACAGATTTATATTTTTCTTTCGCAAACTACTTGGCAAAATTCATGAGTTGAATTCGTCCTCTACATAAATAGGCAGCACTTATCAGCAATCCGAACATTAATGGGTTGCTTCAGACTTCAACATAAAGGATTCTTATTTAAAAGCATTAATCTAAAGTAAATGCTCGACCAAGTGGGGTTTCTAGTCTATGAAAAAGCCAATTATAGCTACGTCGATCAGATATTACTCCTAGGCCCATTGAAATCGAAAATTTTTGGTGAGAGAGATATACATAATCGAAGTACTAAATTATGTGGCCAAACTCCCGAAATTATATGAGGACCATCCTAAAATGTAAACCGATATCGATCGTTTTGGAGATGGGATTTGCTACCCAAAATACCGAATATTTGGGGGTACCGTTTTAGAGGCTACATGGAAGTCGTTTAACCTTTAAGAACCTGCAATTTCCGCTAGAGAAAGTGCTGTGTACACAGCTACCGTTAAGCTCTAATTTTTTGGGAATCTATATTCCGAGCCAGGATATTTCGCGATATTTGCACACTCCTGCCCGATTAGAGGTCAAATATTCCTCTGCAACATCTTTTCGAATCATGTTTTTTCGGAGTACAAAATTACACCATAATATTCAATTTTTATACCCTACACAACTATGTTGTCAGGGTATTATAGCTTTGTGCAGCCCCAAATGTTTGTAACGCCGCGAAATATTGGCCACCTTTAAGTATACCGATCGTCATATCTCGACTAGCTGAGTCGATCTACACATGTGTGTCCGTCCGTCCGTCCGTCTGTCCATTATAATTTGTAAACACGATACAGGCCACAGTTATGGACCAATCTTCCATAACCCATCATGTAGGATGGGTTCTGGCCAATGAAGACCCCTATTGTTTTTGGAAAAGATCGGTTAATATTTAGGGGATGAAATGGACCAAATACTAAATTTTTGTCGGTTTTTCTGGTCGCTCCAGAGGCCGCAATTATGGCCCAAACACCGCGAATTTTTGCATGGAGAAGGGTATCGGGCCAGAGAAAAAGCATGCATATTTTGATAAAGATCGGTCAATATTTAGCGGGTCAAATGGATGTGGGAGTTACAGTCAAATATTTGCAGGTGCTTACGTATTCAGATATTATTTAGTAACCCATTACCATATTAGAGGGAGAAATATCGCGCTGATGGCTTTGAAATTTTTCATGAAGTTCCAGTTTTGGTCAAGAACAACGCCTACAATTTTCGGTGATGATCAGATTAAAATTTTGGGATGAAATGGACGGAAAACATAATTTTTTGTGTGTTTTCGAGTAGAGTATAATCCGAAAATCACAACACAACCCACCGTGAAGGTAATCTGGACAAGTAATTAGAAGGACTGTACTGAATATTCGAAAAAAGTAAGGAAGAGGTGTTGTTAACCTCTAATCGGACAAGAGGGGGCAAATATCACGAAATATTACTCAGACTCGGAATAAACATCCTCAGAAGGTTAGAGTTCGTGGTAGTTGTGTAGGGTATCGTATGGTCGGCCCCGTCCGTCTATACTGCTCCGCTCACTGGTTTTTTATTTTACAGAGTTTGGGTTAATTTGACCCGATAAATATTGACATAACGAACGGAAGTCACGAAAATAGTAGGTCAGATCGCCTTCCCCATTAAAAATTTGAATGTTCGATTTATATTTGTGGCACCTAGAGCGACAAGAAAACCAGACAAATATAAATTTTCGGTCCAGTTCATATCCGAAATATCGTCTGATCACCATCGTTGGACATGGAAGTTTTTCATTTGACGAGATAAATGTTGACTTAAGAGAATCCGAAAATTCCAACGGTGTTAGAAAGAGTACATGTCTAACTCTCGTATGAACTAGGATTATTGACTTCGCTCAAAGATTAACAAAATGGTGGAGCTTTGAAAATTGTTTTTTGGCAAATCGTCTATTTTTCACCATTTTTCATATCGTGTCCGCCATTCGCAAAAACTCTGATTGGAGAAAAACGCGTTTAAAGTTTGAGAAGCCCTCTTGCTGTCACTTGATGCTAACACAATAAATCGGCTATATCTTCAAAAATTGTTGAGATTTTCACTTAAAAATTTATAGGGACATTCTTGAATTAGTGTAGATTCGAATTAAATCAAAATACACAATAAAATTTTTTAATGGTGGAGAGGGTTTTCCCTCAATGAATGACCATTCAAATTAGTTGCTCAGATCGGCTTCCCCATGGAAAATATTTGATTTTCGAATTCATTTCATCCCTGAAATATCAGCTGATCACAATCGAATGTTATAAAAGTCGAAACCTAATACAAAATTTCTACCCATCAGAGCAACATTTGTACTAGTGTGGTAATGGTAATACTAAACAGAAGACACATGTATGTATTTAAGTAAAACTCCTGCATCCGAGTAGATAGAAGAAAAACAATTGTTGTCAACATAAAGGTCAACCACTCCCCGGATATACTATCAGTTTTTCGGGTCTATGTCCTTCAGAAGTAAATATATACACCATAGAATACAAATCTTGTCATTTCAACACAAAAGTGTGGGTCTATTTAACCCGCTAAATGTTAACCAATCTTCATCAAAGCAGGCAAGCTAATTTCATGGTCTCCTTTCTCTGTATAAAATGATGTTCTGGTCACAACTGTAGCCTCCAGAGCGTCCACAAAAGCAGATAAAAACCAGTGAGCGGAGCAGTATAGTCGGACGGGGCCGACCATACGATACCCTACACAACTACCACGAACTCTAACTTTCTGAGGATGTTTATTCCGAGTCTGAGTAATATTTCGTGATATTTGCCCCCTATTGCCCGATTAGAGGTCAACAACACCTCTTCCTTACTTTTTCGAATATTCAGTACAGTTCTTCTAATTGTCCAGATAATCTGGATAATCTGGTGGGTTGTGTTGTGATTTTCGGATTCGAAAACACACAAAAAATTAAGTTTTCGGTCCATTTCATCCCAAAATTTTAATCTGATCATCACCGAAAATTGTAGGCGTTGTTCTTGACCATAACTGGAACTCCATGAAAAATTTTAAAGCCATCAGCGCGATATTTCCCCCTCTAATGTGGTAATGGGTTACTAAATAATATCTGAATACGTAAGCACCTGTAAATATTTGACTGTAACTCCCAAATCTGAGTAGATACATCACTATATTTGGTATCAATTTAAAGGCCAACTACTCATCTTGGATATGCTATCAACTCCTCGGGTCTACATCCTCCAGGAGTAAATATATATGCCATAGAATACCAATTTTGTCACTTTTCACACAAAAGTCAGTGTCCATTTGACCCGTTAAATATTTACCGATCTTTATCAAAACATGCATGCTTATTATCTGGCCCGATACCCTTCTCCATGCAAAAAATCGCGGTGTTTGGGCCATAATTGCGGCCTCTGGAGCAATCAGAAAAATCGACAAAAATAATGTTTTTGGTCCATTTCATCCACTAAATATTAATCGATCTTTTCCAAAAACAATAGGGGTCTTCATTGGCCAGAACCCGTCCTACATGCAAAATTTCGTGAAGATTGGTCCATAACTGTGGCCTGTATCGTGTTTACAAATTATAATGGATAGACGGACGGACGGACACACATGTCTAGATCGATTCAGCTAGTCGAGATATGACGATCGGTATACTTAAAGGTGGGTCTAGGACCAATATTTCGCGGCGTTACAAACATTTGGGGCTGCACAAAGCTATAATACCCTGACAACATAGTTGTGTAGGGTATAATAATTTTATGGGACACGTTTCATTTACTAAATATTAACCGATTATTTGACCAGAAACCGTCCTAAATGTAAAATTTCGCGATGATTGGTCCATAGTTGTGGTCTGTATTCGAGCTCTCCGGACATTTCCATTGCTTCTTCCTGGAAAACCAAAATCGCTTTAAATTCAGCCCGATCAGTGTATCTTCGTAAATTATAAAAAAACCAACTGACACGGCTTCACAAAAAATCATTGAGGAATTCTTAAGTCCTATGCCGCTACCCGTATGAGCCAGAAATGGTGAGAAGATATTCCATGAAATTATTCTAAAAACAACAAAACGCTTTATTCACGAAAACTATCCAGGGCTTCTAGATTGGCACAGCAACGCGATAAACTTCGTGCCGAAAGTTTGCTGACGACAGAATACCGCAGCTAAGCGCTGAAATAGATGATCTAGTCCTTGAGCATAGGCGCTCTAAATGGTTAGAACGTCTTAACCACTGCAATATAAATTCCGAGCAGCATAAAGAGGCTTTTAGAATAAAAACAATTATCTCCAAACCCAAGCAATGCAAAGTCCTTGGTCCAGACGGCATATCCATGTTCAACACTTCCGTTAGTACTTCAGGCACTATCGTGAAGACATCCAAGACGTCATTCCATCGAATATTTAGCGGGTCAAATTAACTAATTTTTTTTTTTGTGTAAAATAACAAAATTTAAATCTTATGGA